AGATAATTTCAACATTTATGGCTCTCTTGTATTCCTAGAATCCGCAAAGATTCGGATGAAGAAAATATTCCGTCTGCAGCATAAAAAACATTATGTTTTACCTGTTTCTTAAGTTGAGACTGTACTTCTAATCTAGGTGGGCACATGACGTATGTCCTTGTTCTTTTTGTATTTTTTTTTAAATTGAGCGAGGGGATATGTGATTTCCGGCTGCCATCTTTGTGTGGGTTTTAAAAAAATGGTGCAGCATGAGAAACGGGTAAAAAATCTTTTCTTATCTTCAACAAACAGAAAATGTCTTCATTCAAATAGTTATAAAAGTCTTTAAAGATTCTGGAAATACCTTCTGAACAGCCATGAGTTTGTTAAAAATGACCTGCTGCGTTTCCCAAAGACTGTTGGGTAATTATCTTTTAGAGAAACGCTTTTAGAGAAACGCTTGCTTAGCGCTGTCACTCAAATGTAATTGTAATACATGAGAGACACAAACTGTTATCTGCTGCCTTTCAGTAACACACATCTAGCAAAGCCATCTCAACTGCAAACTGTTCACCGTGATCCACGCTCTCCATCAAATTGAATGAAAAAAAATAAACATGGCAACCACACAAAATATTTTCATATATAAGTAATGAAACAACAATGCACCTCCCCAGTGTCACTCATATGCAAGGAATATAATTAAAAACAACTTAAAGCCATCCAATATGTCCATAAAGACATGCGATGTCTGGGAAACACAAGTGAATGCTTTGTGTCCAGCTACAGTCTACATGCTCTATCTGAGAAAGGTGTTGAATGACACTTAAATGTACAGTGGGCCTCACACACACACAAATCCAATTAAAATACACTCATACCCACTTCGTATTACCATGCTTACTCATAATATCTTGCACAGACTCACTGTCACACTCGCACACTATAAGCCTCTGTGTCATATACACACTAAATGCACACCTGTTTCCACACACACCTGAATGTACAGTAAGCTTCACACAAGCACACATAACTTGCTCCTACACACTTAAGCTGCTCTCACTCTAATAGAGGTCTCAGACAGACACACATACACACTTCATTCCCTTAAGTGCCAGGGGTCTGGGACAAAAAGCAAATAACCAGCAGTGTTGTCCTCCCTGTCACTGATTGACCACTTATCTCTCTCAGGTATGTGGACATGGCTGAGGGCTCCCGGGCCAGACAGTAGATGGGGCCCCTGGGAGAAGGCAGGAGTTATATTAACTCATCACTCAGCACCCGTCTGATGATGCCTATGTGTGTGTGCTTGTACATGTGTGTGTTTGTTGCTGTAGTACAGTACACATTGAGTGTGTCATCCACTCAGGCTTAGTGCATGAGCAGTACAGTATGACTGTGCATGATAGACGAGCAGTATGAGCACTTGGTGGATATTATTGGGCAGTGAATCAGTGTAAACTGTTGCAGTCGAGGTTTGCATGTGCTATCAATGTATCAGGCTACTGACTGATGTGTGTGTACGCTGCAGAGGCATCTTTTATTTTTTGTTTTTGTCTCAGACAGAATTTACACAAGAGTCAAAGTAGCCGTCTGGCCATATGTTATGTAGACTTGATGGTATTTCCACATTAAACCTGAAAAGGAAATAAATTAAACAATGGAAAGAGCAGATGTACAGTGCTCCGGGTCAAATTTGGATGTTTTTTCATGTCCAGATACTCCTGGACATGTTGAAAGTTCTCTAATCAAAACATTTTGGAGATTATCTAGGATGAGTAGAAAAAAAGCTCATCCTTTCTGTTGTCTGATCTTTGTTTTCAGAGAGAAAGTTGACAAGAATTTTATAGACGCCTGCCTCTATGTAAAAGACCGCATGGAGGAGGTTTCATCCCCAGATAAAGAAATGGTAAGAATGTACTTTGGCTGTTATTTTAATTCTTCAAAGCTGTGGAAAATGATTCACTGCAAAGTTAATGTTCATGGTTGTCAATCTGTCCTTCACGCTATATCAACAATAGTCTGTAATCTCCCCTTTAATGCTGGAAAAATAATGCCCTCTTTGGTTTCCAAATTCTGTCTCTGAAACGGTGATAAAAATGATTTTTGTTTATGGAAAATGCCTCAGGTTCTTTGTTGATATTCTGTTCAAGCTCTTTGACTTCAATGAGTAGAATAATGCAGAGCAATGTGGCTTACAGTGTCATTTCTCAGGCTGAAAATACAAGCTGCTCAACAGCCCAAACAGTAAAAATCATGTTCAGGGAACAATAGAAATGCTGCCACAGGCGGCTTTTTCATTTGTATCTTTTCTCTCTCCTCAGCGTCAGGTTTTAGTGGTGCTCTACCAGGAGTGGTTCAGGGTCTCCAGTCAGAAAGACTCACAGGCCGATACCGTCAGATTATACCTGCGACAAGTGAGCTTGACCACACCCACTCTCTTGCCATATGTAGTTAACCTCACAGACGGCAATGGAAATATGGCTCTCCACTACAGCGTGTCGCATTCAAACTTCCCTGTGGTCAAACTGCTGTTGGATACTGGTGAGATTCAAACACACACGTCTCACACTGTTGAAGAGCATAAATAAAGAAACTAAAGATAGACTAAAGATAGTGGCAAGATCAGGAAGTTAGACCCTGCACAACAAAAACACAAAATGCTGTCTTTGTATTAGTAAAAACACTGTTTGTGTGTTCAGGTCTATGTGAGACAGACAATGTGAACAAGGCAGGCTATACTCCAGTAATGCTCGCTGCTCTGACGGCTGCTGACAGCCCTGATGATCTGGAGGTGGCACAACAACTGTTGAAACTTGGTGACGTCAATGCATGCTCCAGACAGGTAATATATACATTCTTGTGGTCATAGGCCATCTATAGTGTAAACCAAACAACATGTATACATGGGAAAGAATAGCATACTGAAACCACGGGAACCCTTACAATAAATGTTCTAATTGGACATTCTTGAATATAGTAACTAAATAAAAAATATGGAATAAGAAATTAATCTTTATGCAGAACTTTGTAAAAATAACTTTCATATAGTTCTTCCTGTATCCCTCTTTTCCTCCATCATGCCCAACCCTATATCTCTCTTCATCTCCCCCTAATACCTGGTCTCTCACTGTTTAATTCTAATTTTCTATATTCCTCACTCTTTCTGTAGGCAGGCCAGACGGCACTCATGCTTGCGGTGAGCCATGGCCGCGTTGCCATGGTGAAGCTGCTTCTGAGCTCCGGCGCGGATGTAAATGCCCAGGACCGCGAGGGCTCCACAGCCCTGATGTGTGCCAGCGAACACGGACACACACACATTGTTCGTCTGCTGCTGGAGACAGGTCGCTGTGACCTCAGTCTCAAAGATAAGGTATATTGTTATACTGTAAGTATAAGTTGAAATGACACTGTCTACTGGACTGTTGCAAACCTGAAGATGTTTCACCGGTCTTCTATGGTGGTTTAGAAGGTGAGATGCCTTCTAAATGTGTTGCCCCTTCCCCAACTGACTATCCGATTCAGTCTGACATATAAGACCTCTTCAGGATCTTGTTTAGATTCTATGCTCGTTCTCTCTCTTAGTCCTCAATGTGGTTTATTTTCTTAAAGCTGACATAAAGGCATCACTTGCATTGCACTTCACTGCATAAACAGTGTGGCTCCCCTGATGTTTAAGCATACATGGGTGAACCATTGCCTTAGTGTGGTGCCAGTTTTAAAAATATATCACAATGTTGTATAAATTACAGAATGCAGCTCAACCAACAACAAATATGTTCAGTGACAGATATGTGGTTAAACAATACATATATTAAATAAAAGACAAAAAGAGATGTTCTCTGTTGGCAGAAACATGGCTTCAAAGGTGGTTCACCTCGAAACCCTATAGTAGCTAATTTATACATGGAGCAAAGTGGCAAGAAAGACACTGATCCGTACTGAGGGGAAGCTCAAGGTTAAAGCCAGAGACTCCCTGCCCGTGCTGGTCTTTGGCTTAATTTGGACAATGGTGACTCTTCCATAAGAGTTCATTCATTACTGAAAAGCCAAGGATCACTGCACCATTTCAACAGCTTGTTATCTGCTGCTTGTACTACATGAATAGCCCACTCGACTCCTAATGCCTGGCTCACACATACTGTAGAATATGTCACTAGATATTAGGCTGCCCCAACGGTTAGCGTGCCAAGTAGCTGCTGCCAGGCCCATACGTAGTAGATTGATTGTTCGACCTAGTACATTATTGATTTCTTTAGATTGATGATTGCCCTCTGCAGTCTAAGGTAACCAGTCAGAGAACTGCCATATCAAGACTTGCTCTGCTGTGCACTTACCCCTTGCAAACAATCCTGTAAACACTGCTGTTAACACTGCTGCAACACACCTGCTGCTCCACACCTGCGTCTAACTGTGGGTTTTGATTCTAGTTCCCAAACGATGCAATTATTGCCAGTTCAGTTGTCACTTTCAACACGTGTCACTGCTTCCGACACAACTATAACATTACAGCATTTCTACACTTTTCCCTGCCCAGTCACAGGCACACTTCAGGTATTCTCAACAATTAGCCCAAATCATGAGAAGTCTTCAGTACAGCAGTTCAGTAGGTTGTTTAACCTGGATTTGATGGTACCATGTGAGATGAGTCTACACATTGCAGCCATCCTATAACTCAACCATGTGCCTCTGGTAGATTATTTGCGGCCTGACTCCATGACAACACATGAGCACACACTATATTTAGTGGTAGTGGGGGACAAAACATCATCTCAAAACTGAGGAATTAAACAGCTATGGCAAGCAATTATACATTATATGCAAGTAAGTCAAGCAATGTAAATTTCACAAACCTGTTAAACAAACTAAGTGTAATACAAAGTGTGTCACACTGTTCTGAGACATCTGTGTTCCCATGAGAGTCTCTCAGTATGCAGCCTTGTCTCTTCTAGTTTGCTGAAATATCTAATATCTAACCTTTGATTAGAAGAATTAAACATCAAGACATGCTGTGAGAATCATGCAGGAAGTCACTATTATACGCATTACACACATTACACGCCAGTTCAGTCAGCCGGGAACATTTAAAGCTATGTGTCTTAATTGATGTCTAAAACCCATCTCAAAATAGATGAGCTTGGAAGTGCCTGCAGGAGATTTCCAGCAACATCATAGCAAGAATGTGATCCACAAGGATGCAAAAATAGATTTAACCCTCTAATTTTTGATAATTGGCAGCTATGAATGTCTGAGCTGTTGATAAATACAGCAATTAAAAATAAACCAATATTGGTGAATCTATAACAAAAAACAAAAAAATTCACAAACTTGTTTTTTAACAGTATCAAAGTCCAAATGTCTGTGAGAGCAATGACACCAAAACTATCCATGCGACTAAAATAGGTTGTAGCTTATATATGAAAGAAAATATACAGCTAGTCTATACACAACACATGCCCCTGTGTTGTATTAAAATTGACTTGTGTTGCTCCATAAAAGCATAAAAAAACACATTTTCTGACTTTTATAGTTTTTTTGTTTGTCTGGAGAAGGGATTTAGAACATTCTTATATTAAAGTGTCAAGCATTTCTTACTGATGTTTATGTCTTATGTGCCTTGGAACATTTCGCCCATTTCCCTTTCCCATACGAAACCTCTCCAGGCTCATTATTTAACCCTGTCTTATTACACAGGCAATTTCTGCATGATGCAAAGAAGCTTATCCGTGGATATTGTGGCGTCATTGTTTTTGACGTGACATTTGGTTAGAAATTAGATCAGATTTACAAAAAAGTGACAGATCATAATCTAAACTGGCATTTGGCATTTAAATTTCCATTTTTTCTAGGAAAATGATGTTTATAGCATGGTAGTACTGCCTGTATTAGGGCAGGTGCAGTGTATACTCTGTAATGTAATGTCCAGTTGCTAGAAAAAAATGCAACACAACACTGCCACTGTCAGGATAAGGAGAGTCACTGCAATGTCTTCGATGTGAAATTGTGACATTTTCGCTCTGTTTTTTCCCCCAGAATGGACAAACAGCACAGTCGGTGGCAGAAGGAGCCTCCCACCCAGACATAGTTGACCTTCTGAAGGCCCACGCTGAGACCTGAGCCTCTGACCCCTCATCTACCACAGACCTCCTCTGAGCCAGTCCGACCCTGTTTACTCCAAACCACTCCAGCTAGCCTACCCCCAAACTCTTCAATTTACAAGACCCTCTGCCCGTCAACAGAGAGGGAAAAGGTTGAATTAAGGAAACCAAACAAGACTCTGTATGACTCCTTGGATATGCTCTGTTTACCGTGGAACTACATATAAACCTCTTAGACTAGAGTGTCCAGCAATGTACACCCACATGTTTCTTCCAAATCTCTGCCAACATGCCCTGTGGGTGTTTATGGATATGCTGCATCAACCACTTAGTGGACAGACAACAAAGGGCGCTGGTCAGATAGATGATAAGACATTGCCATAGTAACAAGTGTGATTGACAGGATATTGCTTCAGGGACGGGTGAGAATATAAAGTGGATGAACAGATACTCTGACGAACTGCTGCTTTCTATCATCAACTAGCTCTTGAAGCAAAATACTAAGCACATGATCTACCTTTCAAATATACAATATTAAATATGACATCATTTCTATTTTTTCTTTTACGACATTGACATCATTCTTTTCATATTTGGACATAAGCCATTATTGAGAACATAGTATATGTAGAATGTTATTCTAACAGATTATAATCATATACAAACACAGAAAATGTATTTTCTACTGCACTTTTTTTATTGTGTTTGTGTACAGTAAATAGTCCTCTCAAATATAGATGTCCAGAAGAAACTATATATATATATAAATAAAAGTGCAAATTAGAAAATGATATAAAAGAACTTCTGGTCAAATTTCCCATCATTCATTAGATATTTTACATCATTTAATGTATTTTGTTTTTGCCATAGTAGTGATGTTTTTCACGTACAGGACATGGGTGATCATCATTTTTGAATTATTGAAAAACAGATGGTTTAATGAGAGATAAAATGTTTCTGTTGGACACAAAACAAATGATTTTTATAACCACAATATAACCAGACTGAAGAAAGACACAAGTCTTCTAACAAGAAGATTGTATTGTTCGGAAGTTGCTGCATGCCAATACACAGTTACTCCCCCTACTGGCTGTCTTATCGTACTAAACAACAGTATGTTGTAATACTGTCTGTTCTCATGATTAACATCTCTCTCCTTCAACGTCCCTTAGTTGAAATATAATGTATGTCTTGTTCGCCTGCTCGTTTCAAATCAATCATGTATGCAACTGCTACAAAATGCACAATGAATGTCAGGCTGGCTGTGATACATTCCAAGAAAAAATGTAGCAAGTCTAACCATACTGGCATGGATCATGGGACTAACCGAGCCATAGGCTGTCAGTGGATATATCAAACATAGGTATGAGTCTGGATATTTTTACCACGTTCAACAAAAAATATTTAGTTACTATGGAAAATCTTGATTACAAAGATCAGATCTGCCTGTCTTAAAGTTACTAGTTAACTTGTTCCTGCCTAAAGGAATTAATATTATAAAATGGTAAACTGAACAGATCTTTAAACTGAAAGTAAAGGGTTGCTTATGGCTTGCAGTCCTGAAAGAAGCAATATCAATGAAATACTACCTTTTCAATCAGACACTAGGTAGGGAGAGTGGGCTTCGGTCTAGCCTTAATCAGATGACCGTCCTACATTTTAGAGGTGAGATGTGTTTCAGGGAGTGTGGTCTTGTTTTTCCACAAACTTACACCCATATTCCTAAAGTATCTTAAAACAGGAATACTGGTCTGATAAAATGTTTACAACTTAACAGCTCCCCTTCAGTGGACCCAGCAGATATCATCCGTTACGGTTTACAGGAAACAAAGGGATCAATCATTTTCAGGCATCTAGAGGAGGGTTTTCACTTGACTGACTGGTGAACAAAACCGTACTTCATTTTTATAGGTCGGCATTTGAATTAAAGTTTTAAAAGGGTACTCCAGCTATTTTGTATTGCACCTCCAAACTGAGACAGTCTTAAAAAGAAAATGGTAAAAAATAGAAGCAGCAGAGGCCAAGATATCCAACTGTTTTCACAAGCTGAGTAGTACTCATGAGAACAAGCAAGCTGACCTAAATGTTTAAATTTGCTGTAGTGCCTCTTTAAATGGTGACTTGGGTTTGCTGGGGTTACTGAAGGCGGAATTTAAAGGGGAATACCACTCATATTAACAACTGCCAGTCAGAAAGTAAATCTACAGTGATTCTACAGCATTTGTTTCTTACTGACAACTCACACATCTCAGCTCTTATTGTTACTTTTAGAAAGCTTAACAACTTTCTTTCTGAGATGCAGTGTGATCTAACCACTGATCCTGCACCAGTATTCTCTCATTCCCAGACACTTTATTAATGTGGGTGCTAATATGGGACTGTATAGACTGACATGAAGATAGACCTATTATATATATATATATATTATATAAGTATCTTGATTATATAGTAGTATACACAGTGGCTGCATTTACTCAGCAACAATGGGAATTTTTCAACAGTGGCCTAATAGCCAGGTCATTATAATTTGTTGAGTCACAAAGTAGCACAGATTTTCCTTCAACAATGAGACTGCATTTACACAATATCAGAAACTCTGACTTTGAACTCTGTGCAGCACATCTGATCATCACTGGTTGTCTGTATATTAAGGGGATGGAAATTATAGTCTGTGTAGCTTCCCACATTTCAGACAGCTAAAGGATGATCTGATCTGTGCTGTGTGAAATATCTGGTATATCTGGTCTTCCGTGCCTGTGTATTAAGTCTTAAAATAAGTCACATCCATATGTTTAATCCAGTGTGACCCAGATGTAATAAGGTTTCATAACTGGCTTAACACCAAAGAACTGAAATCAAATCTGTTTCACAGGGGGTTAAGTATATAGTTGTATTGGTTTCTGTAAATTCAGCCAAATACATGTACATATAGTATTGTGAAAAATATATAACAAGTATTGTCTGACAGTTTGCTCTAAAAATTATATTAAGTATTTATTCCAAATGCTATATTTTTTACCATATATAGTATACTTATGTATGCATGGACAAATATTCCAGTGATTCTGTTGGAGGGGAATTTGGATGATTGGAAATTAAGCTGAGTGTTCCCTGATGATGTGATTATTCAGATTATCTGATTGGTCGGGTGGTATAGTATAGTAGTGGTATGTGTGATTTGACAAGGTTGTGGACTGTGTCATGTGCCCTTTAATGCTACCTTTGACATTTGTGGGGAAAATATGAAGCAGATTTGACACTGGCTTAAGCTATAAGGGTAATGTCTCCCTTGTTTAAATACTGAAAATCGAAGTGTATGTACATGACAGAGTCAAATGTAAAAACCTGTACCTCTAAAATATTCCTTGTACAATGGGCTTATATGTTACAGAGAACTACTTCTAAATAAATAAATATGAAGATTAAAATATTGAATCTTGTTTTCAATTATTTCCAACAGAAAACAGCAGTTACTGCAAAGATAACATGATGTAGTTTATTCACATCTGAAATGTCTATAAAAACAGATTCAAGCATTTTATGTATTTCCCAAATGATCATAACTGAAAATAAAGAGCTAAGTCAATGGTGTGTAGCTGTGAACCATATATTATACACACAATATATGGACAAAAGTTCCTTTCCTTTAAGCTAAACTGTTATTTTAACACAAAAACTCCATGTCAGATATGCAACTTGATACACAATATTTCCTACCTCAATGGCAATCTGTGCTGTGATGGTTATATCAGGTCAGTTCATTTTAGCATTACAGGGAGAAACAGAACCAAAAGGTTGCTCTGTAACAACAATATATTACCACAGTGCAGCTTCATCAAACAGTGTTTGAACAGAAACAGTAATATACCAAACAATATAAATGAATTAAAAATGTTGAAGGTGAGATTATGCAGTTAAAGACAAATACATCATAGATTATACTTAATAACTGAAATAGTTTTCTGAAACACATTCTACTGATATTCCCACCCAAAATAACTATTTTTCCAACAGATCTCTTTGGATGCATTGGCCTGTACTCCGACCGCATCAAATGGTGTAATGAAAAACAGTGACCAGCAGATGGTGGTATTACTGTGTGGTAAGAACGCTAACTCAGGGAGGACAACTGTCTCATTCTCCAAACATCTAGAAGTGCTAAGTCAGAGGCACCTGGCTTTGGTGATGATCTTGAATCATAAGGGTCAAGGTGGGGATGGTGTAGTCAGGCTTAAAGACGACTTTTGGATGAGGCAAAAAAGAAAAGTGCAATATTGCCTCTGAAATGTATTGGAAAGGAAATATGAATTCAATTAAATTTAATTAGACTTAACACACAGGTGCATATTAACATAAAAACAACAAAATACAACAGAGATATAAAATCATTGCAAGTCCAAAGGGAATAAGACACAGTGGACAAAGACAGTGTATCTTTGTGTCACTTTGTGTAGGCTCGGTTAAGGCCGTTATAATTGCATGAATAAAGTAGAACAAAATGAAAATACTCCAGTAGTAAGTACAGCATTCATGCAAATGTACCTATGTTCAAACACTGTCCTTATTTGAAGCTTGCAATATACACTAGTTAAAGGGTGCAGCAATATTAGCATAGCAATTGGAATAGTATGTGTCAGGGCAGTGCTTTACTTCTATTTAAATGGGTTTGTGTCCAGTCACTAAGATCAGCTGATTATCTTGATGGCACAAATGACAAAAGTTTCTGAATGAACGTAGAGTATGAGCATGAACACCATTTCAAGACATTAGTCTTCTCTAAAGCACTGAGTTCTCTACTTTCAGCCGTGGTAGCTAACATGATGGACAATTAATGCCAATCATTAGGTAACCTTGATCATTACACCATGTTAACTGCTTAATTTCCTTAGGGAGCACGTCTGTATGGAAACACCTGCTATCAATAGACTTTGTATCCTTCTTTCTCAAGTATTTCCTTTGCTCTGCTGGTTTCCTGTGTATATTGAGAACTCTGTTTTTTATCCAATTAATTTGAGCTCTAAATGTTCCCTGTGGTTTACTCAGTGACTGTCAGATGTGTCTGATTTTAAAGCAATGCGTGAGATTGTTTTATTTCTATTAATGAAGACACTAGCTTTGCACTCTTGTCACTTTTGTAGTAAAATAAAATGAAGTACAAGACTGTAGAGAGAAATAGAAAACCTAAATCACTCACTAACATGGCTTAACCAGGTATAAAAATGCTTAGTCTGATAGGTAATTTCAACATGATGAAATATTTTTAACTTTAAATTCTGTTTGTCTTTTGTTCCTTAATCATTCATACCAAAGTGTGAACACGGTAGATGCAGCTGTAAGACATTGGTTTATTGAGACAGTGAGCCAGTGGATCTGAACTGGACCAGCTAGTGTGTATTGTTAGTGTATAATTAGAAAATATCACCATGGCTTTCTATGGGTTACATCAAGTTCATTGCAGTTACTATTCTTAATAAACACACTAATTATGCATACTATATTTTACAATAATAAACTAAGGATTTGATGGATTAAAGCAGACTGGACATTTATTTTAACAGGAAACAGATGGTCGTTAATCACAACCAGAGAGGAGGAGAGTGATTTGCTCTTAACTGAAGTGGATGATGTGTTAGTGCTTTTTTTAAGTTGTTCTGGTTGCAGTAATTACATACACACTGTTGTGCTTGTGCACTCAAACATCTGGACACACAAACACATAGTGAGGCAATTTTGAATTTCCTTTTCCACACTAAGTATTTCCATACACTGAGGATAGTAGAAGAGAGGATAATGAGTAAAAATGATGTTGTTCTCTTCTCTTGAACTGCTGTTCGGAAGCCAAGGGATTGTAAAGATGAAGGCTTAACGGGCAGACTGCAAATCAGTGTGGTACTTCTGGGTCTGAACACCATCACCTATCCCAGCAGGCAGAATATTTAAT